CAGGGCTTTTGTTTGTTGATTACTGATTCAATTTCTTTGGTAGTCATCAGTCTGTTCAGTGTTTCTGTTTCTTCTTGGTTCAGACTTGGTAGAGTGTATGCTTCTAGAAATTTATCCATTTCTTCCAGATTGTCAAATATGTTGGCATATAGTTGCGTGTAGTATTTTCTTACAATTTTCTGTATTTCTGTTGTATATGTTGTCACTTCTCCTCTTTCATTTCTGATTTTATTAATTTGGATCATCGCTGTCTTTTTCTTGGTGAGTCTGGCTAAGGGTTTGTCGATTTTGTTTATCTTTTCAAAAAAACAAGTCTTGGTTTCATTGATCTTTTGTATTTTTTTTTTTTTTAGTCTCTATTTCATTTATTTCTGCTCTGGTCTTTATTATTTCCTTCCTTGTATTCCCTTTAGACTTGTTTTGCTGTTCTTTCTCCAGTTCCCTTAGGTGTTAAGATAGTTTGTTGATATGAGATTGTTCTTGTTTCTTTAGATAGGCCTGCATTGCTATGAATTTTCCTCTTAGGACTGCTTTTGCTGCATCCCATAGATTTTTTTTTTTGAGTTGTTGTGTTTTCATTGTCATTTGTCTTTAGATAGCTTTTGATTTCCTCCTTGATCTCAGTTTTGACCCACTCGCTCTTAAGTAGCATGTTATTCAGCCTCCATGTATTTGTGTGTTTTCCAGGTTTCTTCTTATAATTGATTTCTAGTTTCATAGCATTGTGGTCAGAGAAGATGTTTGATATGATTTCAATCTTCTTAAATTTATTGAGACTGGTTTTGTGGCCTAACATGTAGTCTATCTTGGAAAATGTTCCACTTGCACTTGAGAAGAATGTATATTCTGTTGCTTTGGGGTGAAATGCTCTGAAAATACTGATTAAATCCAGCTGGCCTAAAGTGTCATTTAAGGCCACTGTTTCTGTGTTGATTTTCTGTCTGGAGGATCTGTCCATTGGTGACAACGGGGTGTTGAACTCCCCTACTATGATAGTGTTACTGTTAATCTCTTTCTTTATGTCTGTCAAAATCTGTTTTATATATTTAGGAGCTCCTATGTTGGGTGCATAGATGTTTACTAGAGGTATGTCCTCTTGTTGAATCATTCCCTTTATTATTATGTGTCCTTCTTTGTCTTTTATTGTATTTTATTTAAAGTCTATTTTGTCTGAAATAAGTATTGCTACTGTAGCTTTTTTTCTCACTTTCATTTGCGTGAAATATCTTATTCCATCCCTTTACTTTCAATCTGTGTGTGACTTTTGACCTGAGATGAGTCTCTTGTAAACAGCATATGCATAGGTCCTGTTTT